AGTATATGTGAACTGCTGTATGAAAAGTGAATTTACTCTGTAAATCTTCACCCAAATCCTAAGGAAAAAAAAAAACAAACTTGTATAAACACTCTTACCTTCATCATCCTACCTTTTACAAGTTGGAAACAAAATCTTCTACTTGCTATTTTACTACACGACAGTGAAAAGATACAGTCAGTAGTCCTGACTGGATGACATTCACCATTTTTACTCTGTCAATGCTAAGACAGGAGGTGTACTGTCATATACGAACATTCTCTTGGCACAGCAAAGTCTTGCTTACAGAGTTTATCTAACATGTTGATAAAGTTCTCAGACATTAGTGATTCCCACACACCTTTTCCAGTCTAATTCTTAGCTCACAGCTAAAAATGCAAAAAAGCTGCTCTTCTATATTGTTATTGTTTTTAGGTGCCATCAAGTCAGTTCTGCCTCATAGCAAACCTTATGTTCAACAGACCAAAATGCTGCCTGGTCTTGCAAAACCATGACATAAGTGGCACACCAGAGTCACCTATTATATGCTCTTGCTGGGTAAGATCATCTTCAGCATAAAGTTTTCTACTTACCAGGCTGACATTCTGACATATGTAGACTTCTTGAAGTTTATTCCTGGTAAAATTGTTAATGCCTCACACATACTGCTAACTTAGTTCTCAAGAATAAACTTAAATGAAGTCATTTTCTCACTTAAAGGGACCATTATAAATATGCACATTGTAGAACTTCATATTAAATATATTTACTCAAACCAAACTCACTACCATCGGGTTGATTCTCAGTCATAGTGACCCCCTTTTGTGTTTCTGAGATGGTAAATCTTTATGAAAGTAGACTGCCCAGTCTTCCTTCTGTGGAGTGAATGGTGGGTTTGAACTGCCAGTCTTCTGGTGAACTGTCAAATAAATGCCTTAGGCACTACGCCACCAGAACTCCTAAATATATTTACCATACTTAAACATTATTAAAATTGTTCAAAGACGTTAGAACTATTTTATCACATTACCTTTAAAAGAAGTTTGGTATAACATGCCCCTATCTTGTTGACTCAGTATTTACTACTATAAATTTCCAAGTTAGCTACTTTCAACTACATAGCATCAAAATAATTTTGTTTAATCACAAGTTTATAATGTTCAGGAAGGAAAGACTCTGTCATTTTGATTATTTCCAACTGAGCAGGAGAGCTACCCAAAGTGTTATCTGGCTCAATCAAAACTAGAATACTGGCTGTAAAGCAAGTAATGCACCAGAACTGAGTAAGGGACAAGAATTCCTAGAAGGCCCTACTATCTTCTTATGCAGCAGAGAATGGAGAAGGATACTCAATGAATTTGGTGGCAAAGTTGAACTGCTCCATTCCTCACTTACTGACTATTCATTATCTGACATTTCACGTTTACAACAATAGTGAAAAATCTACTATCTGATTATTTTGTTAACGACACACATATAGCAGTAACAAATGATGAGGTCCCTGATGGAGTCCCTGACAGACCTGTGTGCATGTGGAAAGGAGGCTCATATTGCATAGTCCTTCACAGCCCTAGAGGGATGAGGGGTGCAGTATCCCTGAGCCACCAAGGTACCAGGCAGAGTGGAGGAGGAGCTGGAGTGGGGCTGGCAAGGACAAGACACTGCCAGTGGGCCTTGGTGTCCATAGAGGGTTGAGCCCAGGCCAGCAGAAGCCCATGAAGGTGAGCCCTTGGGTTTGGGAAGGAAGCAGGACCTTGAGGTCTAGCCTTACCTCCCAGCTCTGAAAGGTAGTAGGGAGAGGCTGGGTTATGGTCAGAAGGTGCTAAGATGGTGCACTTGGGTGCCCAGGGCCATGGGACCCAACCTTAGCTGACTAGCACCTGTGCAGCTCCTTCTGCTTGCTTGATGCTCCCTCCTGTATGGGCATAGGTGAAGGCAGCATGGGCTATCTAGGCAGGTGAGGGGTCAATAGGTGAGTAGTCAAGAGGCAATTCATAAGGTCAAGGGCAGAGGCTGAAACTGGCCATCATGACCTTACCTTGGTGGAAGCTCAAGATTGTTGATTCTCTTGGGGACATGTGGGTGGATGGGGAAAGGGCCGCTCAGAGACAGCTGGGGGATGCTAGGGCAAGGAGCTGGTGGGGGGACCCAGCAGGGAGGGTCAACCCCCACTGCAGCACCCATGTTCTCCCACCCATAGACAAGGAACTCTCTGCTCTCAACAAAGCCACCAAGGGCGTTGTAGGGTCATTGAGGAGATGAACAAGGGAAACTTGTTCTGAAAATATGGTGAGAACAGGGGAGGGCAGGGATGTGATGGGGAGGAGAATGATGCTTGGGCCATCTTGGCTCTGAAGACCGGGAAGTCTTCCCTTGCAATGTCAGTGGAGGCCCAGCTCTCCTGAGGTGATGAGGGAGCAGGAGGTGGCACTGGCAGGTGACCTCAGCAGGGGCCTGACAGGATGTTCACAGTACAGGTGAGGGACTGAGGTGATGTGCTCATCCTCCATTTTCACATGATGCCAATTTTCACATAACAACCTGATGTTTGGAACCTAGCCATGTCAATAACTGAGGAGTGAGTATATTATTACCATCAAGGTAAAGCAAAGACCATTTCAACAATAGCTGTTGTTGACAATTAATCAGTAACATAAGAAAGTCAGTATTATCTTTAAATCCTACCAAAAATCCCACTGTACTATTCTATCTCAGAAGCCTTGGTGGTACAGTGATTAAGTGCTAGGCTGCTAACTGAAAGGTAGGAGCTTTGAACCCACCTGCTGCAGGAGAAAAGATGTGGCAGTCAGCTACCTTAAAGATTACAGCCTTGGAAACCCTATGGGCAGTTCCACTCTGACCTATAGAGTCACCATGAGTCAGAATCGACTTGATGGCAATGAGTTTGGTTTTGTTCTGTACTATTGGGAAGCTATTGGGAAGGAGCTCTGGTGGTGTATTAATTAAGGCATTTGGCTGCTAACCAAGAGATCAGTGGATCAAGCCCACCAGCCTCTCTGTGGAAGTAGCAATCTGCTTCTGTAAAGATTTATAGCCTTGGAAACCCAACAAGGGGTTGCTATGCATCAGAATCGACTGGATGGCATTGAGTTTGGTTTATTACCTATTGGGAGCTCTGGCAGTGTAGTGGTTAAAATATTCTGCTGCTCAGCAGTTCAAACCACCAGCTGCTCTGCAGGTGAAAGATGAGGCAGTCAGCTCCCTTCAAAATGTACAGCCTTGGAAACGCTCTGGGCAATAGGGTCACTATGAGAGGGAATCAACTCAATAGCAGTGGGTTGGGTTTGGTTGTATAAGCTATTGTGCTGAACTTTAAAGCAATTCATAGACTCACAATGGTGACTCTAATTATCTCAACAATAAATGGATGTCTTAAGCAATGGAAAGTATGTATGTGTGTATTATTTATCAACAATAATAACCTGTTACTGAGCTCTTTAAAAAAAAAATCTTATTTGTACTTGTTCTGAATTGAATTATGTCCCACAAAACATGGGTTCGAATCCTAATCCTTATAACTGTAGATGTAATCCCATTTGGGAATAGATTTCTTTGTTATGTTAATGAGGCCATTATCTGTATAGGGTATGTTTTAAACCTACTCACTTTTGAGATATGAAAAGAGTAGATTAGGCACAGAGAAGCAAGCACAAATGAAGAGGAAGATACCTGTTCTTTGGAGATCATCAAGGAATCAAGGAATGCCACCTCTACAGAAACTGAATGAGATTTTTCCCCAGTGACAACAGAAAAACAGCCTTCCTATAAAGCCAGTGCCCTGAATTCAGATTTCTAGCCTCCTAAACAGAGAAAATAAATTTCTGTTTTTTAAAACTCACTTGTGGTATTTCCATTATAGCAGCACTAAGAAATTAAGGCACTAATCTATAAAGGAAAGCTGAAATGGCGTGTAAAGCAAATTATGCATCATCTATTTTCTACATATTGCCATTTTCTTTTCTTATCACAGTATCAAAAATGTTTGTAAAACAGATTAAAAACAGATAGTGTGACATTATATATGTGAAGCACAATTTAGAATCCATAAAAATTATTTATGTCCATAAATAGATTAAGATAAAAGGGAAAAATAAATAAAATTGTTATGACTGGACCCCATCTATCATTTGATGACAAACAAAATTATATTTGATCATATTTATCATTAATGGCTGTGGTAGTTACCATGTTTGTTGTCAACTTGGCTGGGCCTGGTTGAGTGGCTGGGCAGCTGGTGGTAGTTATTCCCCATGATGAGACTAGCAATCAACTCCATGGTGGGATCTACCACAAGCAGCTGAGTAGCTGCCTTGGGTATGTGGTCTGCTTCCTGTATATAAGAAGCAGCTTTA